GTAATATTTTTTGTATGTGTTTTTGTACTCTCTCCTTCCATTAATCTAAAAATGTTTTAAAGGAAGAGACCATGTCCAGTATTTTCTTTCTATGTCCTTTAAATACCTAGTGTAAATATTATTATATTATGGGTGCCCCCAAATGTTAATCTAACTATTTATGGGCTGCTTACATTCATATTTTTCTTAGAGACACCAGTTTGTTTGTTTGTTTTAAACTGAAGTATAGTTGATTTACAATGCTGTGAGACACCAGTTTTTTAATTGATGTATAAGTATTTAGGTAAGGGAGAGAATGACATTAATTTGCTTAACAAATATTATGTAAAAATCGAGAGATATTGAGGAAAATAAGACATGATCTCTGTCCTTGAGATCATCACCTAGGAGAAGAAACACAGATGGACTCAGATATGGGTGCCAAAGTGCTAGAAGTGCTAAGATGGAAGTCAGTACAGGTACTTCCAGGACACAGGAAAATTTCCAAGTCTGACAAATTAACACCTCTTTTTGTCAGTTATATGCATCATATTAGTTGGGCACAGAAAGGAAGACTTTTTTTAAGGTAAATGAAAGCCATTTTCCAACTTTTATAGTTAATGCACATCACATTAAAAGACAACAACCATATAAGTTTTGGGAAGATTTAGAAATATAGATAGATAGAGTTGAAAGAGACCAAAAAAAAGAATTTCTACATATACAATCAGTTCCCACTTTTACATTATTAAATAAGAGATGATTGTATGTGGCATCTAAGTCAAAATAAGTTTTGATTTAGTTATACACCATCTGTACTATTTACAATTTGTATTATGGCAACATGTTTTAAGAAGACATTTAATATTAAAAGAAACATCATATCCTACTTAATTTTTTTTTCCTACAAAAAAGTCCAAACACTGAAAGAAAGGACAGAGGAAAAGTGGCTAAATAAAATTTTGTAATGAATAGAATTAAGCTAAAAACTCCCTACCATTTCCTTAAAATGTCTTACGATGTTGGAACAAATTGGACAAGTTAAATGTATTGCTCATTTGTAAGCAGCTTTTGGCAGGAGAGAGCACTTTGCAGTAAAGAAAAAGCTCTCTGCAGGAGGCCCCTTTTGTCTTGTCACTTTAGCAAGGCTATAATGTAACTTACCTTAAACCAGGCACCTCCATGCTCTACTCATCTGTGAAGCACACTTTTAAATCTTTTGATAACACAATACCTTGCCTAACCTGTTGGTTCTTTTCTTAGATCAAAGAAGTAGAAGTGAAGAATAAGTAATTAACAGATGACCAGATCACTTCCCTAGCTTCTCCTTCAATAATGTCACGAACAAACTGTGTGAACAGATAGCATCGAAAGAAAGATCACAAGAAGTTGACAAGCCTGAGTGCAGTGGGAGATGGCTACAAGTTTGATCCCCATCTCAATGATTAACTGAAATTACTTCCCTTTTTTCCTTGAAAAACTTTCTTAGCTGAGCAGAATCTGGGGAGTTGGTTTTGGGAGACATGAGTCCACCTTCTTCCAAGACTGTCAGCTTTTCTGGTTAAAGCAACTTTCCCTTCTACCAGTATTTCCCTCTTGAGTGTTGGCTTTTGAGCAGCAAGCGGCTGAACCTGAGTTAGGTAACACATACATACACATAATTTATTCGTGGTGTAGTGACTCAGATGTGGTGTTTGGCTAGTAAATTTAACTTCTGCATTTCTGTTCACTGTCTGGAAACATTATTTTTCTGCCATACTGACTAAGTCAGTCTTGGAAAGAAAGAGATGAACATATTGGGAAGAAAACAAAAATAAAAGGTTTCTGCTACATAGAACAAAGAACTTTTTATTAGAACAGTGTTATAGATAGGTGGCCATGTATGGAGAAAAGTATATGCTAAAACAGTAGTTAAGACAAGGGATTTCATTAATTTTACTATTTATGCACTTCTGAAGATGATAGCAGATCGGTAAGAAATACTGCATGCAGGTTTTTGCAAAACTGGATCAGAAGTCAAACCAATAAAAAATATATATGCTTCAAATTTGCCTGTACCACGTGACAATCACATAATGTCCATAAAATATTCTAATAAATAGAATCTTTCTTCTTCTCTTCAAATTTCCAGGCCAATACCAAAAATATGTTCTAGATCTGGGGTTTCAGGACTGTCTCTGGTTTGTTGGGATAGAGAAAAATTTCCTCTGTCCTTCTAGGTTTTTCTAGATGGCTTAAGAATTAAATTGACATGAGACAGATTAACAGGAGAAAATAAAACAAAAGTTTAATAACATGCATACATGGGAGAGATAGATCCAGGAGAACTGAGTAACTTGCCAAAATGGCTAAAGCCCTCACCTTAAATACCATCTCCAGTGGAAGAAAAAAGAGGATTTTGAGAGTGGAAGAGTCAGTTATAGGAGGGTATCAGGAAAATCACAGTAAACAAAGGTGGTTATGATGCAAATTTAAGTTATTCCCTTCTCCACGGATAAGAGGTTCTAGAGATTTAGTCATCTTCCTCTCCCAGGTACAGAGAGGTAGACGTCCTTACAAATGGAGATTTCCCTTACAAATGAAAATGTTTCTTACAAAAGGGTAAATCCTACTTGGTTTTCAGAGCCCTTCCATGTTTTCTGCTTCTGAGAAAATATCCAGCTTAAAACAACTAAAATGCCAGAGACCTATTTTAGGGTGACAAATTCTGCTCTGCTGCAGGTTCTTTTAGAGGAGACTAACCATCTGGATTTACTCCAGTCTGAATATCCCACCAGCCACCCCCAGTCATCTTGAGTGGCACTGAGTCTCCAAAGAAACTCCTTAAACTCTCACTCTTCACAATTCAGAGCTAAATCAGATTTATCTTTGAAGTAAAGAACACAGGTTCTAAAAACAATCTCCCCTAGTTCAAATCTTGGCTCCACACAAATATGGTTTAGGGCAAGTTCTTTAAGTTTTCTGTGTGCAAGTCCACTCATATACAAAATAAAAATTACAACAGTACTGTAGGGGGGCAGAATTTTTCATCCTAAAATATGTCTTTTTGGTATATTAATTATTGCAAACTGGTTATTTTCTAAGAAACAGCAGACATGGGAAAAACTCTGAAAACCAAGTAAGAGTTACACTTTTGTAAGAAACATTTACATTTGTAAGGATGTCTCCCTGGATGTACCAAGAAGAGGATGGCCAAACCTCTAGGAACTCTTATCAATGGAGAAGGCAATGACTTAAATATGCATAACAACCATACTCTTGTTTACTGTGATTTTCCTGGTAGCCTCCTATAACTGACTCTCCCCACCCTCAATATCCTCTTTTGTCTTCAGCTGGGGATGGTATTTAAGTTGAGGGCTTCAGCCGTTTTGGGGAGTTACTCAGTTCTCCTGGGTCTCTCCCGTGTATATGTGTTATTAAACTTTTGTTTGATTTTCTCCTGTTAATCTATCTCATGACTATTCCTTATACCAGCCAGAAGAACCTAGAAGCATAGAGAAAAATTTCTGCCTCTCCAATAGTACCCACTTCATAGTGATGTTAAAAAAAGAAACAATGAACCCAAAATGGAGTCACTTGTGCTAAAACCAGGACTTACTACCTAACTTAACAGCATTTACAACGTCCCCCAGGACTATTATCCTAATCAGTCAATGTGGAATTTTTGGTTAGCACCAATGAGGTAATCCTTTACATCCCCCAAAGAAAGGTGAGATAATCTGCCACATAGTCCCCTTTCATACCCTATAGGTAGGTTACCTAAGCATGAAATAATTTTTTTTAAATGAGTTTCTTGCTTGCCTTTAAAAATTTCTCCCTTTCTCATTTTGGATCTCTCCTCTATTTGCTAGAAAGGGTACTATCCAATTCACGAATCATTCTGTTACTGAACAGAGCCTGGGTCTGCTCACCCGATGCATAGCAAAGCCTATCTACTCACTCTGGACTGTGGCGAAGGAAAGTACAGCATTGTTACTGAACTCAGCTTCAGCTGGTCACTGCTCGAAAGCCAATACTTGAGACAGGTGTTGATTGGAAAGGAAAGGCTGCTTTACTCAGGAGGCTAGCAACCTGGGGAGAAGGTGGACTTGTGTCCAAGAACCAACTCTGAAGATTCTGCTGGACCATGAAAGTTTTTAAAGGGAGAAAGGGGAAGCTAATTACAGTTAATTGGTTGGAGTGGGGATCAGAGTCTTATTTTCCACTGTGTGCAGACTTTCTTCTGATTGGTTGGTGGTGAGGTAACAGGGCGGTGTTCCAGGACTCTTTTGCTCAGCCTGAAGTTACCATGGTCCACCTAGGTGGGAGCCTTAGTTCCCTCAGAAAAATTCAAAGGTATTGTTATGTATATTCCTTGAGGAGGAACCAGGACCCTGCTTTATCACTGCACTATTGTTTCATGATTGCTCCTCCTTTGTTTCGGCATTCCCTCACTTTTCTGATTAGTATTTTTTGAATCTGCCCTTTGGAACTCAGGGAAGGTCTAGGATGATGAAGTCTTTTTCCTACAAACAAGAAATGGGGGACACAGAAAGGGTTTGTACCTGGGAGGGCCCCACAAGGTCCTGCTTATATTCAGCATATAATGCAGGGTGCCAAACGAGAAGACTAAGCAGCTCATGCTCAAAAGTCCCGATTCTCTCTTGGTTTCAGGCAAGTGTTTTCACAGTGTTAGGGGAGAGGGTTGTTGCATGCATGATCAGCTTGTGGACAATTTTCTGATTGGCAGGGTGGTGTTTCAGGAATCTCAATTGTCAATATTCTGACTCCAACCAGTCAATGTCTACATGTTTGGGGTCAGTAGTTTTTGCCTGGTGATGGAATTTAGCAGGACCTTGCAGGGTACTACCAGGTACAAAAGCCTTGCTGGGTCTTCTGTTCCTTGATTGTAGGAGAAAGGCTTCAGCCTCCTAGTCTTCCTTGAGTTCCAAAGGGTGGACTCAGGCAGTTACTAATTATGTTACCGAGTCCAAGCTCGCTCTGCTCACCACACGACAGGCCAATAAGTTGGAGACGCGGTGTTGAGGCAAGTAATATGACTTTATTCAGAAAGCTGGCAGACCAAGAAGATGGCAGACTAATGTCTCCAAAAACCCTCTTATAGGGGTTTGGATGCCAGTTTCTTTTATAGAACAGAGAGGGGGAGGAGATAAGGAAGTAAAGTACAAGGCCATAAGTTTTGCAAATGTCCCCTGAAATGGCCACCGTCAGGGAGGGGATGTGTTAATTTTGCCTTTCTGGCAGCCATCCACAGGTGGTCAGGGTCAGGATGCTTCCATGAACAAAGGCACTTTGGTTTCACATTCAGGCAGAGGGGCAGGTTTCCCTGAGGCAGGCCATTATGTATGGACAGTATCCTTTTAGTGAACAAAAGCAGCAGAAAGCAAAGGTTAAAGTAAAAGAAACAGATCCAACAGATTTGGCTCTTCCCTGTTACAATTCCCCACTGTCAATGTCCATTCCACAATCTTGTGGAAAAAGGGGTGATGACCATTTTAACTGCTTTGTCAGATGGATCTTTCTGGGAGTGTCCGCCATCAGTGTCAGTCTTCCAAATGTTGTTATTTTTGTTCCTCTCTGGAAAGTGTCTCCTTTATACCTGTAGACTTTAAAAATATTCACAACCTAAAAATTGAGAGTTATGATTTATTCGGTGGGAATTTTGAGGGCTTCAAGCCTGGGAGGCAGCATCTCAAGTTAAGGAATTTAGCGTTCTATATAAGGGAAGATGCAAGAGTCTGGGCTCACTGAAATCTTTCCTTTAATATACACCTCAGCTATCTGGGGCCTATATCCCATATTTTCATATCCTGAGATTTCTCAGGGCTTACCATAAGGAGTGACTGTAGTCTGATGGCTGCTAGATGGCAGGTATTCTTCTCCTTCCCGAGTTTCCTCAGGGTTCACCACCTCACGTTTGAGGGCTGCAATTGCTGATGCCTGATATGGCAGGAAATATTCCATTTCCCAGATCCTCTCCTCTTGGTCAGGAATTTGACCAATATTTGGGAGACATTTCATGATCAAATTTTGTCCCATGGCTCTGGGAGGCTCATCCCAGATCAGGCTAAAATTCTTGATATGCCACTCCAGATGCTAATTTTTGGAGTAAGCCCTACTTAATAGTTAAAGATTCTCTGGATCCTCTATCTAATTATGATCCAGGAGACATTTCCCCTTGTTGCTTCTTCCCATACCTAGAATCACAATATTACAATTATTTTATGTTATAAATGTGATCTATTTTCTCAAGATGTTTAGCCATAGAAGTTTTGTTGGAGGCCTGGTTACACATTGGGTATTGTAAGGGACAACAATATTACAAAATAGGATATAAGTAATGTAGCTGGTAACATTGACAAAGATATAGCGCAGCAGGGAGACACAAAGCACAAGCAATTTGGAAACAAAGAACAAATTAAAACAATGATTAGTATAACTAGTTATAATCCAGTTGCAATAATAATTGAACAAAGGTACCATAATTGATTTAATGAGCCATCTGCAGTCTCACTGTACTAGCCATGAATACTTAGACATGCATGGCTTAATCTCTGAGACAAGCATATGCTATTGGCAGGATCAACCAGGAAGAGAGAAAAAGATAAATGTTTTAATTCTGTTTACAAAGGTATAATTTACCAAATTACTGTAAGTTGTAATTAGTTTAATGGGATAGTTTTCCTCACTCCTGGAAAACACAGATTTAAACCAGTACTTTTTCAGATAGAAACCATAAAAATTATATAACCATATTCACCAGTTCACTCAGTCTAACTTTCTCTTTGTTAATAACTTTATGAAGCTGACAGGTTTTCCCATTAGAATTTTTCAATTTCTTACCCAGTTCAGCATTATGGTCTGAAAGCCAGAATCTTGTTTCTCCAAAGGTCTTTTCTATAAATCTTCTTGAAGAGGAAGCATTTTTGCAAAGGCATCAGAGTGAAGCCGTAACTGTCTATAATGATGAAAGACTTAAGAAGGCACGTTTAAATCTGATTACAATGCAATTGACAAAGTAACTCGGTTACTGCTGTGACATGCAACACTTTCAGATAATAACTAGAATTATGACTGATAACATTTTACCAGGACATATCAAATTTTAGGAACTCCATATAATCTCTAGAATACCTGTATCATTTGCCATACAATATAACCTAAGAAGATTTATTATTTATTTGACAAAACTTCCCATGTAATTCAACATACCAAGTAAACATAATTAGTTAATATCTCTCTTTGGGGTGTTTCAGGGGCCCTTTGAAACATCCCAAATTTAGCTAGAGGTCAAAGGAACTTCATTATAATTTGATTTGGGAAGTTTTGTCAAAAAAATATCAAAAAGGGTTTAAAATAGTCAGATTGGATCACAGGTCACTGTGAAACAATAGTTATTCACTTAGCCAAAGTAACAATAAAAGATTTCAAAGGCAAATACAGAACAGATCACTTAAGATGTAAAGAAACTTAAAATCTATTATCAAAGCCAGTTCAACATCTTAAGAAACATTGTCTTCTTAACAGAGAGAAAAGCCAAATCCAAGTTTTGCACCAGTTTACTTTTAAAATTCATTTACTCAATTAAACTTATTTTAAACTTAGTCAGTCCTGACCATGCACAAAACTCTTTTCTCAGGGTCCACTTTCCACAAAGCTTCCATCACTTAACTTATTTTAGCACAAAAATTCTAATTTTCGAGTTGTTGAGTAACTGGAGAGATTAATTTTATATAAACATTCCTAAAATATAATTATTTCTAAAAGTTCACCCAAAGCTCTTATCTCATTTGCATTTTCTTTCCTTAAACCTTTCCTCTCATCAAACTACTTTCCTTGCTGACAAATTTGCAACAGATATAACAAGATTTTATTTAGCTTATATTAAACCTAGGCACAATAAAAGTATTATACTTAATGTTGATGAATTTAAAGATATGTCTATATTAATTAGATCAACAAAAAAATATGAATACCAGGTATTAATTTAATACTGAATATTTCCCAGTTCATGTGAACCTGAAAATCATTTAGCTCAATTTCTCTTGTATTTAGAATTGTTGGTTTGTAAGCACTTACTTTTCTTTAGGCCAATTAAACAGAGCTCATCCACAAATCAACCTCAGCAATGTTATCCGAAGACAAAGACACATACAAGCACACAGAGACCTTGTAGTTCTCATTTTAAAATCTCAGCCCTGAGTCAGGTACAGCAATGTAAAACCCATCAGTTTACAAAAGATGTTGGATTAAAATTAGGTTTCTGGCAGAGGGAACAAATCAAGCTCCCTTGTCTGAATGGCTAAATTTTCACAGAAAAGACACTTAGGATTTTTATTTATCCTTGACAAGTCAATTTCTAAATTACTTTACCCTCCTTTCAAAGTTTGTATTTTAAAAAGATGGCAGAGATAAGGCCTCCTGAGAAGACCAAATAGGACATCTGCATCTCAAAGATACAGGCAAGTTTTTCCTAGGATGACTTTGTTTCCCCTTTGTTTAATATTTACAAGCCTCTTAAGATAACTAGGGAAGGTTTTGGGAGCGGTATCTATTAGAAAGTCAATCAACTTGTTCCCCACTGTTGAAGTTACTTGGGACTCCTCTGGGGAAATTAGAATCGAATGCCTCAAGTCTAAGGGAGTCCCCAGGCTTCTTACAGCATGTTGGCACAAGGGAAATCGCCCTGCTGTGGAAGTGGCTCCCGGTCCAAACTGGGTGCTCTGTTGGATCTTAGATGGTGAGACTAAACCAGGTCCCTGTGCCCCCAGGGACCTGTGACCGTAGAAACTTCTATTTGATCCCCATGGGTAAGGGAAACAAGAGGTGGTGAATATGTTGGTGTCATGGGGGGCAGTTGGAACAACTGCCAGTGCAGACTGCTTGGCCACTGGGGGAGCTGGATAGGCTGCAGGGGTTTTAAGTTTTGAAATAACATGTTCCCACTCTCATTGTCTCCCTCTTCCCCTTGTAGAACAGGTTTCTCCTTGGGTTTCCTTTCAGATTGCTGCACCATAAGGTGGCAGTCCTCTGACTTCTTTTCTTCCTGATGCAATAGCATAAATGCTTCTACATGTGGAATCTCATCTCTTTTCCCTGCTCTTTGCAAAACACCTCTAACTGTGAGGTCGTATAATAATTGAGTGAGCCATTCAGGGGCCACTGCTCTTCTGATCCTAACATATATTGTGTCCACACCCTATTACAATAGTATATTATGTCTTTCATAATATACTATTGCAAACTGTGAGCCTTAGTCATAGGCTTGCAGCTATGTTTTGCCCATTTATGTAATATACGCCCCAAAGGGCTTTCCTTTGGGTTAGATGGAGTATTTCCCATTTTTATAAGTTTGATAACACCAAAATGCAGAAGATATAGACAATTCCAACACAAAAGGCACAAACAAATTCTAGCATCAATGCACACAGAACCAAAAAAAAAAAAAAAAAACAAAACCAACTAATTAGTTCCCAAATCAGGTAGACTTACCCTACAAAACCAATGAACTAGCTCCCAAAATCAGGTAGAGTACAACAACAATTCCCCTCTCCAGCAGGGTACCCCAACCAAATTGGCTTGTCCCCTAAAGGAAAAGCTCAAATTGAGGGTGGGATATGTTCCCAGTTTGCACACTGGAGGGACTTACCCTCCAAAATCGAGTCTGTTGACACATAGAAGTTTGTCAGTTCCTTGCTTCAACTGCCAAGTGCTGGGGTAGCTGGTGCCTCTTCAGGGAAATTTGAAGGGAAGATTCTCAGGACAAATGGTCCCAGCAGCTGCTAGGGCCTTTCTCCAAAATTCCCTGACTGGGGCTGGCTAGTCATGAGCAGCAAGGCTCCTGGCTGGCTTGCCAAATTTGTTACTGAGTCCAAGCTCGCTCTGCTTGCCACATGACAGGCCAATAAATTGGAGACAAGGTGTTAAGGCAAGGAATATGACTTTATTCAGAAAGCCAGCAGACTGAGAAGATGGCAGACTAATGTTTCCCCAAAACCATATTATTGGGGTTTGGATGCCAGTTTCTTTTATAGAACAGAGAAGGGGAGGAGAAGAGGAAGTAAAGTAAAAAGGCCATAAGTTTTCCAAATGTTCTCTGGAATGGCCAGCCTCAGGGAGGGGATGTGTTAATTTCTTCTTTCTTGCAGCCATCCACAGGTGGTCAGGGTCAGGATCCTTCCTTGAACAAAGGCATTTTGGTTTAACATTCAGGCAGAGGGGCAGGGTTCCCTGAGGCAGGCCATTATGAATAGACAGTATCCTTTTAGTGAACAAAAGCAGCAGAAAGCAAAATTTAAAGTAAAAGAAACAGATTCAACATGTCATCAGATTTGGCTCTTCTCTGTTACAATTAGGGAAGTGAGGAAATACAGAAGCAAAGGAAAAGCAGTTATGATATAGTAATGTAGAGATAAAACAAAGTCCTAGTTCCTCCTCAAGTGATATACATAACAATCTGATGCATATCTTTGAGTTGTTCTGCAGGAACTAAGGCCCCTACCCAGGTGGAGGATGGTAACTATGTGCTGAGACCCCAGACTGGTCAGAACCAGAAAGTTGATGATTGAGATTCCTGGAACACCACCCTGATATCTCACCACCAACCAATCAGAAGAAAGTCATAAACTGTGTAGCCATGACCCTAAATGTTGCCTTTAAAAACTGTTCCCTGAAAACCATCAGGGAGTTTTGAGCATGAGCCACTTTTTCTCCTTGCTAGGCCCTTCCAATAAACTTTTCTCCCTCCAAACTCCAATGTTTCAGTTTCTTTGGCCTCACTGTTTATCAGACACACAAATTTTGGTTCAGTAACAGTGGGGATCTGATTTCTGTAACAACAACCTAAGAATGTATGTCAGACATTGTTATCTGTTTTCCTCAAGGAAAACTAGGGTCTTATAACCCCATCCCAGTTTGACTTATTGCTAAAAGTAATCATCTCCTTCTTTGCTTGACTGATTCTTTGTTTTCTTTTCTGCCCCTTCTTAAATGATTAACTGCTTGAGCCTATTCTTTGGAACTCAGGGAGAACTAGGAGACCAAAGGTTTTTTCACAAACAAAAGGTGGGGCACACAGATGGGCTTGTGCCTGGGAGGCCCCACAGTGTCTTGCTTGGTTTCAATTCAATAAAGCCAATTAGATATTTAAAACTTACTCAGTTAAAATTTTGTTATTTAAAGTAATCATGAAAATTAAATAGGTCATGTAAAACTACTTAGCAAAATATTTATTATCCATATATATTTATTATACACATACATTTATTTAATGTATACTTTGTGTATATAGATAGATGTATAAGTAAATACATAAATGTATGTATTATTAACCGAAATTTTAGAAATGGAGATCTGATTGAATAAAAAGGTGTTTATTTGAGTTTTGTTAGGATTGCAGGAGACACAGATTCAAGAAACACAGGAGACACAGATTTAAGAAACACTTGAATTGTGTTCCGCCATACTACAAAATGGAGGAGACATAAAGGCAATAAAACTGCAAGGTTACATGAGTTATTATCAAGATTTATAATTGGAGCTGGCAAGAAGTAAGGGTACTTGTTAAGTAAGGATTTTGGGGGCTCTGAATTGTTGCATATTTACAAGGTAAGACCTTGAGACTAACCATTAAGTTGCAGCTGGCAGGTGTTGTTTTGAATATGGCTGGTGGTATCTTTGGGTCCAGTACAGTTCAAAGAATGTTCACGTTCTCAATGCAGGGATGTGCCTGAGACTAAATCCTCAATGGCTGCCTGACTCCATTTTGTATGCCTGAAGTGTGATTACTCCATTATAATTTTAATTTGTCATCAGTATGTATGTATGCATTTATATTTTTTTAGCTTCCTTTCACCTAAGCATTCACCCCACTTTTTTCTTATCTTGCAAATGTTATATTCAAAACATTTTCTGACATTCCCCCCATACTTGTATTACTGATCTTGTTTGTGTGTCCAATGCTTAGTGAGGTAAAACAAACAAAAACATCAGTTTGGAGCAGAGAAAATTTACTGCAGGGCCAAGCAAGGAGAATGGGTAGTTCATGCTCTAAAAAAACTTCAAATTGCCCAATCATTTTCAGGGAGAATTTTTAATAGGCAAAATTTGGGGTGACGGCTGCAGGGTGTATGACTTTCTTCTGATTGGTTGGTGGTAATAGGGCCAGTGCTCCAGGAATCTTGTGCTCAGCCTGAAATTACCATTCTCCACCTGGGTGGGGGCCTTAGTTCCTGCAGAAGAATTCAAAGATATTGTTATGTATATCCCTTGAGGAGGAACCAGGATCCTGCTTTAATCACTTCACTATCTTTTCTTGATTGCTCCTCCTTTGTTTCTGCATTCCCTTACTTCCCTGATTAGCAACTGTTTGAATCTTCTCTTTGGTATTCAGGAAGGAACAAGAAATGGGGGACCCAGAAAGGATTTGTACCTGGGAGCCCCACAGGGTCTTGCTTGGTTTTACTTGCTCTCCATTCTACTATGCTGTTTGCCAAATAAACACAAGTAACCTAACCAGGAGAGAGGAAAACCAAACTTCACATTTTACAACTGTCAATTTTTTATCCATGTCAGTTCTTACATTTTCCCTATTGCTTACAATAATAAAAAGAAAAAGGAAAATAGCTTGGGCAACTGATAACGTGCTTTTTCCATCACCAATTAGGATTCTGAGACTCTAGATCCTCTGGTAGGAGCAGCTTCACATGTGTTTTCAGAAAATAGAAACAAACCCACACAACTTTCTGCCTGGAGAGAAAATCCTTTCTCCAATGAATACTGATTTAGTCCAAAGGCAAATGTAACTCAAATCCAAAATAGTATAGAATGGAAAGTTCCTTAGAAAAGTATCTAAACATGGTATTAGGGAAAGGGAGAATAGTTACACACAGAAAGCTTATTCTTAAGTGTATTCTAACACCTTCCTAGGAAATAATCACTACTTCTGTGTCAGAGATGAAGAAATAAGAATAATCACCACTAACATAAATGAGATAGGTAGAAATGGAACTGAACCTCATTCATCCTAATTTTGTGTTCAATCCATCTAATCTCCACTGCAGACTTTTGCTATGTCATCAAAGACCACAGTAGGGCTGGAGATCCCTAGCAGAGCAGGATCTACAATGTGATGTTTTAAGTAGGGGGTAGGCCTGTTGGCCATTTTGTCTGCCTATAGGCCTAGCCTCAAGGATGGGGGGGGTGAAACAGAAGGGAAGAGGGCAGGGCACAACATTTAAAAGAATGACATAGACCAAGGACACAACATAAACTAATTAGAACAAAATAGGTTCAAGATGGTGGATGAGTCAACTTCCACCAGACCTTAAGTCTCATACGCTCACTGTAACACATCAGCAAGCTAAATGACACACCCACAGGTGCCATGACAGTTCCAAGGCTGACCATAAAGATCAAAAAGTGGGTGGTGACCCAATTCCTGGAAATCCCCACCCTTTCCCCAAAATAGCTGGAATACTCCTCCTACTCATTAGCCTATGGAATTACCCACCACTATAAAAACTGACAAACCCATACCCTGGTGCTGCTCTCACCTTCTGAGATGGCCCAAAATCTGTCTGTGGAGTGTGTTTCTCTCTAAATAAATCCACTTCTTACATATCACTTTGTCTCTCACTGAATTTTTTCTGCGATGAGACATCAAGAACCTGAGCTTCATTAATTCCTGAGACCAATTGTGTGATCAGTTAAAAGACCGTGGGTTCATGTCCCAATCTGGGTTACAGGGTTTCAGGAGGACTGAATGTCTTGGAGCTAATTGTTGGCTCCAGGGCACTTGGGAAATAAGAACCCTTCCACCTCCCCAGCATCATGTGCTACATCTGGAAGCCACTCACCCAGATGGAAGAGGATACAGGGCATTCCAGAAATAGTCTGGGGGGTCTGTGTGGAATGGTTTTGGATGCTGCAGACCCAGTGTTACTCAAATGTCTTCCAGCTTAGCTCCAGGAAGTTGTGTTCCCTGAGTTCTTCCTTAGGGTTGTTGGGTAAAGGAGGCTGCATGGATCCTAGAAAGCAAGTTGTGATATTGTGATAAATAATAAGAAATACGTATTTGGTCTTCATCCCCATTCCTGGCAGAGCTTCTAAAACCCAAGAAATTTCCTAAGTTAAGTAGAGCTATTAAAGTGTCTTTTGTTATGTTAATGAGGCAACTTCTGGAATGTCCTTAGGTCATCTGAGGGAACAACCATGTGATTAGAGTGTTAGAACTGTTAGGGCACCATTGGCTGAAACCAACTGCCCTGGCCAGAAAGGATAATAGCTGCTTGTGTGAGTTATCTCACAATAGGAGGTCTCAATAAGAAACACAGAAGTGACAAGCTACCACCAGCCAGAAGAAATCGGGAGGGGCCAAAAGTAGGAAAGAGATGCCAGTCCATAATAGGTCCTGCCAACTTCCCAGAAACCCTTGTGGTGGAAACCATCTTGACTGAGAGATGCACACACCACCAGGAAGGGCCTTGAATCAGATGAAATACGACCACAAGCAGCATGATTGGCCAGTGACAACCTGGAAAGCCAACCCCATTATCATGAAACCTGAGACTGCAAGCCATGTGGCAGAGCAGTTCTCCTAGGTTCCCTTACCCAGCTGCTCTCCACCTGGGCACTCCTTCCCAATAAAGTATTTTGCTTTGTCAGCACATGTGTCTCCTTGGACAATTCATTTCCAAGTGTTAGACAAGAGCCCACGCTTGGGTCCTGGTAAGGGTTGCCCTTCCAGTAACAGAGCTTTTAGTCCCAACCCCAACCTTCAGGGAGGAGAGAGGGGCTGGAGATTTAGTTTAATTGCCAATGATCAATGATTTCACCAACCATACTTATGTAATGAAGCCTCCAAAAAGACCCAAAAGGCTGAGTTTCAGAGAGCTTCTGGGTTGGTGAACATATGGAGATTTGGGGATAGTGGTATGCTTGGAGATGACTTGGAAGCTCCATATCCCTTCCCCATACCTTGCCCTATACATCTCTTCTACCGGGCTGTTCCTGAATTATATTCTTTTATAATAAACTAGTAATCTAGTAAGTAAAATGTTTCTGAGTTCTGTGAGCCATTCTAGTGAATTTATGGAGCAAAAGGAGGGGGTCATGGGAAACTCTTATGTATAGCCAGTTGACAGAAGCATATGTAACAACCTGAATTTGTGACTGGCATCTGACCTGGGGGCAGTCTTATAGGACTGAGCCCTTAACCTGAGGGATCTGATGCTATTTCCAGGTAGAGAGTGTCACAACTGAGTTCAATTGTAGGACACCCAGCCGGTTTTGAAGAATTGCTTGGTGTTGTTGGAAAATTCACACACTAGAATTGGAATCAGAATCAGAGTTGTACAAGTCAAGAGAATAAGTTGCTGACCTAAAAGTGCTGTAGAAAACTGGGATAATAACCCCTCCCACAAAAAAAAATAATAGTGGCCCAATGGCAGAGTTTAACACAAATGAGAAGAGGATACTTAGTATCTTCTTCCCATCAATTATTATGACTGCAACATGAAAATGTGGACTTGCTAATTCTGCCTGGAAGAGTGCCATCAAAGGATACTTTAAGGAACCAGGTGAATTAGAAGCAATGCCACAACATGAGAGAAAGCAGCCACATATTTGCATGTCTTTTTCTCCTCCTTAATGGGGCTGGCAGTGAACTAGTGTTGCCGGGGTGGGATTTGAAGGGTTAGAACTAGGTTGTGGCCTGCCTGAGGAAGCAAAAGTCAGGAAAGCTTAGAAGGGCAAGTTCAAGCTAGGGTCTCTTCCCTTAGAGTGAGAACCCAGCTCAGTGGAGACAAACACCAGCAAGAAGCTTGAACTTCGAACTTCCAGTAGAGCCAGAGTTCAAAGATGAGGTGAGAGAGCAGGAGCAAGGTAGGACCAAGCAAGGAGAGTGCAGGATAATTGCCAGGAAGTAGCCAAGCTTCCTTTCCAAGCAAACAAGCCACCCAAGGCTCCCATGCCCAGTGAAGTTTCAAGACTAGCTCAGCCACAGGGTATAGAGCCAACAGATATCCAGGAATCAAAGATAGTTCAAATTAAACATCAAATTCACAAAGCCTGTTAATATGATATCTGGGGTTTGCTTCAAAATAATAGGAGGGGGATCCATAGTGTATATATTTTTTTTAAAAAACTGGCCCTTTAACTCCCAACAGTACAGTATAAAAAAAAATTTTTTTTTTCATTCAGGATACTTCATTCTGAATAAAGATGACAGTGACCAAAAATTGAATGTGATATTCATGAGAAGTACCAGCCCATATTGTTTGTGGGGAAGGAAACTTCTCATCCTATAATTCAAAATTTCCTTGCAATTTACATCTAAATAAGAGTGGGGGATCATTCAAGAAAGAGGAATGTATTAGAGGAGCTGCCTTTATGTAGAGTTTGAGAGCAAAATCAAATGACATTGTTTGTCTCCTAATATTAAAATTTTTAAGTAAAGGATAATTCTATCCTTAGAGCCTAAGGTCTTACTTTTACAGCTTTTGTTACCACTATTTTATTTAATATTATATAAATGTTTATATGTAGCAGCCCTCTGGAAGAGACAGAGCAGTGTTTCTATGCTTATTGTATTGATGAAGAAACTAAGGCCCCACAGGGTGGAAGAACTTGTCCAAGACCTAACAGCAAGTCTTCTGATTCGAAATTCAGGCCTTTTCACTATGACAGGCTACTCAGCCCCAGTTTATGGGTTTCTTCATATGTCAGCGTGGTTTTACACACTCGTACATTGCCCTGTCTAGTGTTTCCAGCCTTGACCCAATAAATGATTGAAATATAGTTTTGCAAAATTCTGATATGCCAGAATATCATGCTATTTTTAAAGAACCAAGTATTTCCTAGTATTTTTCTTGATTTGGTACCATTATTTTAGTATTTCAAAAGTCTAAACTCTGAATTATGTACCTTGTGAGATATATCCAGAGTTATATATTGCGTTTAAATTTCATATTAAATAGAGGTTACCTGACAAGAAAGCATTCTGACTACATCACTTCCCTTTTTTTTTTTTTTTTTTTTTTTTTTTTGCTGTACGCGGGCCTCTCACTGTTGTGGCCTCTCCCGTTGCGGAGCACAGGCTCCGGATGCGCAGGCTCAGCAGCCATGACTCACGGGCCCAGCCGCTACGCAGCATGTGGGATCTTCCCGGACGGGGGCACGACCCCGTGTCCCCTGCCTTGGCAGGTGGACTCTCAACCACTGCACCACCAGGGAAGCCCTCACTTCCCTTTTAAAACCTGTTCAGAGTGTCCTTTAGTTGTATTAATTCCTATTTTCTAAATTACTGGTGAGGCAGCACAGTTCTTTCCTTTTAACACAGCTTTTTATTTTCCCCAGAGGCAGTTTGGGTCCCATCAATTTCCAGAAGTTCCTGATGGAATTTGAATGGGAGTGAGAGTTGGGATGAAAGTCAGGAAGAGACCCTAAGGAAAATGAGGTAGGATAGCAGGAAAAGGGAGGAGAGGGGATGAGATGACCTTTCTAAAAAGAGGACCAAATTCATTTTCTTAGAAACAGACAGTTCTCCCATGGATAATTTATTCTAACATTTTCCCCGGCTTACCCTTTCTAAAGTGATTTAGGCTGTAAGGGCACAAGAACAACAGTTCTTGGCTCAGCTCTCTCTTGGGTTCAATATTTTCTCAGGACAAAGTGCAGAATATGATGGCACCATACAATACTTTTTCATGAAATGCTGTTAGTAATACCACTAATATTAGTGCCAGTATTTCAGGATTATGAAAAATAAATAAGACCAGTATTGCCATTTTCCTCCAATGTTGCAGTTTACTAAACCTGAGTGCTTGAATTTACCAAGCCAACTACTGTGATTCCACTCATGGCTTACTCTTGTGCCCGGCCACTCATCTATGCTGTCAAATCCAAACACTGATTGCTCTAACCTTAGCTCCCAATTCTTCACAGCTCTCTGCTGATTCCGACTGCCACAGAGCGGACATTTCTAAACTAGAAAATACTCCTACTCTGGGTGAAACTTGGATTCTGGTATTACTATACTCATTCTCAATTCTGGCTACTGTAGATTAAAGGGAGGTAAGAATAATGCAATGAATTGAAGATGGAAGACTGGGAGGACATGGGAGTTCGCATCTCCACACAACTAGGGCACTTACCGGGCACTTACCAGGCACTGGTGGGAGACCACAGACACACAAGGGGATGGGAGGAACCTCCAGCAGCAAGACAGGATGTGGTGGGGAGTGAGGGGGAAGGAGAAGTGGAGGCAGGACAGGAGTGGTACCCCTGAGGGGCGGCTGGAGGAGGGGAAGGGATCCCATGCTGGGAGGGGGAAAAGGGGAGACTGTTGGGAGGGCAGAGGATCAGAAGGGAGAATGGCCAGCATTTCCCCTGCCCACTTGGGCCTCGGGGAGCCTGCTGAGATCCCAGGCCTGATCCTCCACTCACTGAGGCCCCCTCCAGCTATGTGGATCCTGAGGCAGTGGGAGGGAGGGAAAGGGGAGGAAAAGTAAAGGCTGGACTGATGGGACTGGCACCCCTGAGGGGTGGCTGGGGGAGGGGAGGAGTTCTTTCACCTGGTGGGGCCCACCATGCTTAGTGGTCCAGCAACAATGGGGGAGACCCTTGGGGGAGCAGAGGAACAGAAGCAAGCATGACCAGGACTTTCCCTTCCCCTGCCCTCAGAGGCCCCCTCTGGCAGGCAGTGCAGACCCTAAGCCCCACCTCTAGAGCCCCACCCAGGGCCCCACCTCTACACACCACACTCCGAGACCCACTTTGAGACCCTCTCCAACTGTGCTAGGCCTAAACCCTGCCCACACACCCTCACCAAGGGCCATACCTCCAAACTCTGGAACACCATGCTCTGAGGCCCCCCTCAGGCCATGCTGCCATTCCCCCACCTGCTGCACAGGTCCTAAGTTTAGGCCCCGCCCCCACCCTAAACCACGTCCCCACCTAAGCCCCACTCCCCACAGCCAAGGACTTTTCTGGCTTTTTACTTTTTTTTTCCCTTCTTTTGGGGTGTGGTTTAGTTTTACCTTGTTGTTGCTGATTCATTTATATTTTTATTTTTTCTGATAAATCATTTATTTTTCTAATTTTATATTATTCTTTATACCTTGTTATTGCTCTGCCCCTTTTGTCTTTTTTTTCTTTCTTTTTTCTGTTGTGGTTCTGTTTTACCTTGTTGTAGTTGTTTCAATTATATTTTTATTTTCCTTAATATATTTTGTATCTTTCTAATTTTATATTATTTTGCATTCTTTGTTATTGTAGTGTTCCTTTTTTTTTCATTTGCCGTGTTGCTTGGCTTGCAGGATCTTGGTTCCCAGGCCAGGGCTCAGGCCTGAGCTCCTGTGGTGGGAGCACAGAGTCCAAACTGCTGGACTAATGGAGAAACTCAGACCCCAGGGAATATTAATCAGAGTAAGGCCTCCTGGAGGTCCTCATCTTGGCACCAAGACCTGGCTCTACCCAACTGCCTTCAACCAGTGCTGGACGCCTCAGGCCAAACAAACAGTAGGAAAGGAATACAGCCCGTCCATCAAAAAAAAAAAAAGTAAGACAACAAAAAATATGTTACAGGCTAAGGAGCAATGTAAAACCTACAAGACCAAATAAATGAAGAGGAAATAGGCAAGCTACATGAAAAAGAATTCAGAGTAATGATAGTAAAGATGATCCAAAATCTCAGAAACAGAAAGGAGAAAATACAAGAAATGTTTAACAAGTACCTTAGAAGAACTAAAGAGTAAACAAACAGAGGTGAACAACAAAATAACTGAAATTAAAAATTCTCCAGAAGGAATCAATAGCAGAATAACTGAGGCAGAAGAATGGATAAGTGAGCAGGACGATAAAATGGTGGAGATAACTGTCATGGAGCAGAATAAAGAAAAAAGAATGAAAAGAATTGAGGACAGTCTCAGAGACTTCTGGGACAACATTTAACACACTAACATTCGAAGTATAGGGGTCCCAGAAGAAGAAAAAGAGAAAGGGTCTAGAAATATTTGAAGAGATTATAGTCAAACACTTCTCTAAAATGGGAAAGGAAATAGGCACCCAAGTCCAGGAAGTGCAGAGAGTCCCATACAGGATGAACTCTAGGAGAAACACACCAAGACATATATTAATCAAATGAACAAATAATAAATTCAAAGAAAAAATATTAAAAGCAGCAAGGGAAAAGCAATAAATAACATACCAGGGAATCCCCATAAGGTTAACAGCTGACTTCTCAGCAGAAACTCTGCAAGCCAGAAGGGAGTGGCAGGACATATTTAAAGTGATGAAGGAGAAAAACCTACAGCCAAGATTACTCTACCCAGCAAGGATCTCATTCAGATTTGACCAAGAAATCAAAAGTTTTACAGATAAGCAAAAGCTACGAGAATTTAGCACCACCAAACCAGCTTTACAACAAATGCTAAAGAAACTTCTCTAAGTGGGAAACATAAAAGAAGAAAAAGACCCACAAAAACAAACCCAAATCAATTATGAAAATGGTAATAGGAACATACATATTGATAAATGGATTGTAAACGGATTGAATGCTCCAACCAAAAGACACAGACTGGCTGAATGGATACAAAAACAAGACCCGTATATACGCTATGTATGAGAAATGCACTTCAGACCTAGGGACACATACAGACTGAAAGTGAGGGGATGGAAAAAGATATCCCATGCACATGGAAATCACAAGAAAGCTGGAGTAGCAATACTGATATCACATAAAAAAGACTTTAAAATAAAGACTGTTACAAGAGATAAGGAAGGACACTACATAATGATTAAGGGATCAATCCAAGAAAAAAACATAAAAATTATAAATATTTATGCATCCAACATAGGAGCACCTCAACACATAAGGCAAATGCTAATAGCCATAAAAGAGGAAACAGACAGTAACGCAATAATAGTAGGGGACTTTTAACACCCTATTTACACCAATAGACAGATCATCCAGACAGAAAATAAATAAGGAAACACAAGCTTTAAATGACACAATAGACCAGATAGTCTTAGTTGATATTTATAGGACATTCCACCCCAAAGCAGAATATACTTTCTTCTGAAGTGCACACAGAACATTCTCCAGAACAGATCACGTCTTGGGTCACAAATCATGGAAAACTTAAGAAAAATGAAATCGTATCAACCATCTTTTCTGACCACAATGCTATGAGATTAGAAATCAATTACAGGAAAAACACTGTAGAAAACACAAACACATGGAGGCTAAACAGTGTGCTGCTAAATAACCAAGAAATCACTGAAGAAATCAAAGACAAAATAAAAAAATACCTAGAAACAAATGACAACGAAAAAACAATGATCCAAAACCTATGGGACAGAGCAAAAGCAGTTCTAAGAGGGAAGTTTATACCAATTCAAGCTCACCTCAAGAAATAAGAAAAATCTCAAATAAACAGTCTAACCTTACACCTAAAGCAACTAGAAAAAGAAGAACAAAGAAAATCCAAAGTTAGTAGAAGGAAAGTAATCATAAGGATCAGTGCAGAAATAAATGAAATGTAAATGAAGAAAACCATAGCAAAGATCAATAAAACTAAAAGTTGGTTCTTTGAGAAGATAAACAAAATTGATAAACCTTTAGCCAGACTCATCAAGAAAAAAAGGGAGAGGATGCCAATCAATAAAATTAGAAATGAAAAATGAGAGATTACAATGAACACCACAGAAATACAAAGGATCGTAAGAGACTACTACAAGCAACTATACACCAATAAAATGGACAACCTTGAAGAATTGGACAAATTCTTGGAGAGGTACAAGTTTCCAAGATTGAACCAGGAAGAATTAGAAAATATAAGCAGACCAATCACAAGTAATGAAATTGAAACTGTAATGAAAAATCTTCCAACAAACAAAACTCCAGGACCAGATGGCTTCACAGGTGAATTCTATAAAACATTTAGAGAAGAGTTAATACCTATCCTTCTCAAACAGTTCCAAAAAATTGCAGAGGAAGGAAACACCCAAACTCATTCTATGAGGCCACCATCACCCTGATACCAAAACCAGACAAAGATACTACAAAAAAAGAAA